AGTGCTTTGCATATTGATTCTGCACGTGAATAAAGATCTCTCAACTTGAAAAAAACAGTAGATGACAGGATATAAAATAGTGGCAGATTTGATGAATGCAGAACCACGAGGCCACGTCCCTCCCAATTGCCAGGATGGACAGAGGTGGTGCTCCCAGCAACCACCACCACAGACAATACCGCTGGAAATTCCCTTAACCAACCCACGTGTGCACAAAGCACTCAGCACGGACCCCCGGCACACAGTTACAGCCTACATGTAACATTTATTCATTGTATGGAGGGGCCTCCAACTCAAAGACAGTTTGGGCTCAGGGCAGAGGGTGCCTGGCACGCAACCAGAGAACCGTTGTCTTTTTTCCTGCTGGGGCCCCAGTGACTAGACTTGCCTGGCACACAGAGGGTGCTCAGCCAACATGTGCTGGATGAATCGAGCTGGACTTTAAGGGTGAGTAGAAAATTGTGAGGCGGAGTGACGTTCCTGGACCAGCCCTGGCCAAGTCCTGCTGGGATGGAAAATATGGTACATTCAGGAACAGTGAGCAGCCTGGCCCGGAAGAGCCGGGCGTGTGTCTGAGGGTGTGTGTTTAGCTGGTTCTCTTACTCAAGATTGTTCTGTTGTAGGGAGTCTCTGTTAGGCTCCTACGAGGTTATGGTCACACCATTATTACCAACCCATCACTCCATAGCCTTGTTTTGTGCTTCTTTGTTCAGAATATGGCTGCGTATAAACTGTGGATTCACTAAGCAGTGTTAACTCCTGCAAATGCCTGCAAGTTCACCCGGTGAGGTATGACATGGCCTTCGTGTTTCAGAAGCACCAGCCAGCACCTCACACTCTGCCTCAGGGCCATTCTAGATAATGCAACCTCTCTTTCTCCCTCCCTCCCCCGCCTGTCTCTCGGCAAATAGAAACATATATAAAATGTGGCCTTGCAATAGACACTTGTTTGTAGTCCGAGAGCTAAAGGGAAGGTGGTGTCTCTTTATTTACGCTTAACTCACAGGATTCAAATTCTTTGTCAAGAGCTGGGGTCCGGTGTATGCAGCTCAGGGATAACACTCATGCCTAGCATGCCCAAGGCCCTGGGTTCAATCCCCCAGCACCACCAGAATACAACTCAGCCAACATGTCTGAAACTGGCTGTGTTTGAAGAAGAGTTTTAAAACTCTCCCAAACCTTTCCCCGAGCCATGAATAACCAACTGCACATCAAGCCTGCTGTCACCCTAAAAACCAAGCTCCCCTCTCCTGAGTGGCACTAGACAGTGCCCCCTTCATTAACTCCTCCTTCCCAGCTCCTCCAGTCCTGATCTCATCCGACTTCTGTCCCTTCTGCTTGCAAGGCAAGTGTTGGTTTAGGGGTTACAAATACATTTGAATCGGGAATGTGCAGATATGGAATCCATGTGGTGAGGAGAGAAGAGAGTTAGAGGCGGACCATGATTGTCCTTGAAGGTCCAACTTTATCCACCAGTGCTGGGACAGTGAGAGGGTTGAAGTGAAGGTCGTGTGTGTGTGTGTGTGTGTGTGTGTGTGTGTGTGTGTGTGTGTGTGTGACGCCCCCTAGTGGGTGGTGAGGCAGGGGCCGCCAGGATGCCTCCAGAACACTCTTCTCAGAACAGCAGTATGTGAAGTTTAAGGTGCAGGCCACGTGACCACCATTCAACACTCAGTGGATGGCGACTGCATGCCAGGCTCTGTGCTCAAGGTCGTCGGTCTTAGGAAGATCATGGTGTGGCAGGAGGAGACGACAGATGTTTTAGGATCATGGGGGAAGCAGAGGGATGACTTGGGAGAAGCAGTGAGTTAGATCTTAGTGAGTTAAATCAATGGATGCCCCAGGGAAAGCTGTGTCCAGGAAGAGATGGCTAAGGAGAGGAGTGGCCCGGATGGTGGAGGAAGGAAGCAATGTAGGCAGAGAGAGCGTCTTGTGGGAGGCTCTAATTGTGAGATGAGAGGAAGCATTTAGAAACCGAAAGAAGCCGGGCGGTGGCGGCACGTCTTTAATCCCAGCACTCAGGAGGCAGAGCCAGGTGGATCTTTATGAGTTCGAGGCCAGCCTGGTCTACAGAGCGAGATCCAAGAAAGGTGCAAAGCTACACACAGAAACCCTGTCTTGAAAACAAACAAACAAAAAATAAAACAAAACAAAAAAAAGAAACTAAAAGAAATAAAGTTGGAGAGGAGAGGGAGGCCAGAGATAGGGCCTGGGAGGGGGGTACTTCCTGTGGCCTCTGTGGCCAGGGTGAGGAGGGGACTACAGCACCTGGACATCAAGGAGCCACAGATGACTCCGAAGAGGGCCAGGTTATGACCATCTCATCACTGGGAAGGATGCTAGCCAGCTTCCCACTCTCATTCCCATGCAGGCACTCCATGGATTGCACTTGTCCCCTCACATTTTGGAATTGCCTACCAAGTGGCTGCTCCTTCTTCTGCTGGCCTGGCTGCATCAGGGCCTTTGATAGCGTATACTTATGTTAGAAAGATCTGTGGCACCACCAGGAATAGCTAGGATCCAAAGCTCTGTGTCTGTGCCCCTTGCCACCTCCTGAGAACTACATCTAGAATTTACAGGTTCCTGGTGGGATCCGAGATCCACTGAAATTGTATGGGAACATTTTCACATTGATATATTTTTTGAGGGGGTTGGTATCTTTTGGAAGGGCGGAGGTTGAAACAGAGTCTCACGATTTAGCCCAGGCTGGTTTTTGAATAAAAATCCTCCTGCCTCTGCTTCCTGAGTATTGGATTATAGATATGCACCACCACACCTGGTTCTAGAACTTTTTTATTATCAAGAAATATTTGCGATATGAGAGATGTTGAGTGGTTCAGGCTGCCCCAACCCTTGTTGTGTATGTGGTGGAACTGAGGCTTTGAAAGAAAAAAAAATTCCTAGTGCAGCGGCTAATGCAGCATGGACAGGTGGGGAGTGAAATCTCCCCTTCACAAGCACCGGTGGGAGGCGGTTCTTCTCCTTCTCTCGGTCCCACACGCCAGCAGCTGTCCCATGATACTTATGCAGCCACAATCCACTTCAGACTCAGACCTGTGAGCTCTAGAGGGGCACAAAACATTCCATGTGGTTAACATGAGTAATAATTAGTTGTCCTTTTATGTTGGTGAGAGGTTGGTTCCAGGACCCCTACTGGATGCCCAAATGCATGGCAAATCCCTTAAACCAAGTGGTGGACTATTTACACCTATATACTTTAACTGTCTCTAAATACTTAGAACGCTTAATCCGAAGCAAATGCTAGGAGGCTGTTAGATTGTTAGGGAAAAAGTCTGTAGGTGTTTAGTGTAGGTGGGATAGTTTTCCCATCTATACTCCAACCGAAGCTGGAGTTTTAGAAGCCAACCCGAGGTGTCCTGTCCATCCAAGCAGCCTCCTTCCTATGTGTCAGAGGAGCCCTTCCCATTTCTAGATCACAAAGGGTAAATAATGAAGAGGGTAGGGTCTCCAGCCAGGCTGCCCACGTTCACATCCCAGCACCATCTCTTGCTCATGACCTGGGGCACCAGCCTCCATTTTCCCCTCTGATAAATGGGGTTCCTGTCAGGGAGGGTGGAATGAGGGTCAGCTGAGCCGCAGTGTTTAGGACAGTTGAGAGCCCTGCACTGTTGAGGCAATGTGGAGAGGTGATACTCCGGTCAAGGAGCCTCTGGAAGGGTCTGGAACACTATACCGAAGGGCTTGGTTTTGTCTGTGGATTGGGACCACTTTTTTATTTTATTTATTATTATTATTATTATTATTATTATTATTTTGGTTTTTCGAGACAGGGTTTCTCTGTGTAGCTTTGCGCCTTTTCCTGGAACTCACTTGGTAGTCCAGGCTGGCCTCAAACTCACAGAGATCCGCCTGCCTCTGCCTCCCAAATGCTGGGATTAAAGGCGTGCGCCACCACCGCCTGGCCCACCTTTTAGTTTTAATTTAAGAGGGAATGGCACTGGGACAGAAGGACTAGAAAACAGGTGGACTGTGGTGCCACTGGCCAATTAGGAGGGTGCAGGCTCCGGGTCCCCCCGGGGGAGCCCAGCCATGTTTCTCTTCACACGGTCCTAACTCAAGGCCTTTTCATGTAACTGCTCCTTCAATCTGAGGTTGCCAGTTGCCCCTCCAGCCTCCGGTCAGATGGCACGGTGGTCCACCCTCTTACCCCCTCTTATCTGCTCATCTTCCACTAGAATGTCAGCCATGTACAGACAAGGGTTTGCTCACTGCTGTAGCCCCGGGCCCAGCACAGTACCTGGCACTCTGTATGCTCAACACTCCCAGTGGATGAGGAATTGGGGGTTGGTGTTGGTCGTTCACCATTCCTTCAGCTTAGTGCTGGGGGCTGTGCCTCCCCATCAGCCAGGAAGCCACGAGAGTCTGCTGAGTGCTCAGGTACTCAGCTCCTGTGACACCCCTTCCTCTGCCCATCCACAGGGTTACTTACTGCTTTATTGGATGTCCTGCCCCCTGCCCCCCGCCCTGTTGGTGCTGGGTCTTCCCCTTCGGGAACCTCCACACCAGGAGTTACTTCCTCTCTACTGTCACAACTGGGAATGACCTGCTCTAGCTGTGTGTGCTTGGGCCAGCTGCCTGACCTCTCTGAGCCTGGGTGTTCTCCCTGAGAATAAAGCCATCTCAGACAGTAAAAGATAACGTGAAGGTAACCCCACCAAATGGAGCACACTGGCCAGTTATTTGTGTACGGGGCGGGGGGGGGGGG